AAAAGAAGAGAAGAGAAGAAGAAGAGAAGAAGAAGAGAAGAAGAAAAATCTCATTGAAATTCTTCTTTGTTTACTTTTTTAATTAAAAAAAAAAACTATTAATGTCTCATGTGGATTTTCAGAGGCATTTTCGATCAAAAACAGCAGTGACAAATTTCAGTGAAAATAATGCCTTAGAAGAGGGCGACTGTCTCTCTCTAGGGTCGCCTAGAATCAAATACAGAGAATTGCTGCCTCTGGGCTCTTGTGTGGTATCTGAATGCAGAAGGTTAGTATAAGCACAGCCTTTGGAGGTCATTATATGTGGAATTAGAAATACCAGACGTCTGGTTTGCAGACGTGTATTTTCTGCAGCGGGGATGGGGATGGTTATGACTGCCAGCTGTTCATCGAAATGCACAAATTTTTTTAATTATAAAATGATGTCTGTATCGATTCCTTGCCTCTGGTCTTTCACTGGGCTCAATGGCTCCAGTTCTGCTTGCAGAACAGCCAGGGGATGCATGGGGAGTTTCTGGAGTCTGATTCCAAACCTCTAGTAGCCACCATCAGCAATGCGATCTCCTGCAATGCCCAACTCCACTACAAGTCTCTTTGCAAATGGAGACAGCAGTGGAAGGCTGGGGACATGGTGTGAAGCATCAGGTGGTCCCAGCAGCTCTGAACAGCAAAGTACTACCTGGTGTTTTCAAGATGTATGCTTGTGCAAGGTTTCTCTATCCACGCACATCATCAGGACAGCTCTGTGCCTACACCAGTGGGTTTCGTGTTTACTTACAGTTCTGAGCATATTCATGTGTAACCATTGAGAGCAGCTCATTTGCTCTCAGACATCGTTTTGTAATGAATAGTCAAAATATTTTCCCTGAAACAACCTTAATGGAACTTCTCTTCCAGTGGTAACAGCTAGGCGCAGCACCTAGATGCAACCAATCCAAAGATCTGTGTTACTTTACAGTGTGAAGAAAAAAACAGAATCATCATCAAAAAAAAAAGTGGCCTGCCTTGATTTCTGACTTTGAGTCAGTCAAGAAGCAGCACAAATCAGTTCTACACTTTTCAGCTTACAGTCCATTGGCCATGCTCCCCAGCATGGTCCATCACAACCTATCAGTGGACAAGAGACCTCACTGCTCCGCCACAGCTCTTCCAGCAAAGATAAAAAGGGTTATTTTTCCTGAGGGAAGTGCCCCATTCCTTTCTCTTTTGGCACTGTGAAGTGCAATCAGTGAGCATTTTCTGTTTTGGTGTCTCCCACAGTTGCTTCCATACAACCCCTTAAGGAAACTGAACAGAGAGACCATCACAGAAATGCCCCAGTAAGTCCCATTTCTACTGGGAAAGCTGGAGAATGACATGTTAGAAGACCAGAATCAGGCTTGTTGCCTTCTCTGTGTGTTTCATACCCAAGTGCCATGTCTGGAGACACGCACGAGAGCGCAAGGCATCTGAAAGACCTTAGCTCCATACACACTTCATTCAGGCCAGCTGAGATTCTGCATCATTTGGCATCATTTTGGCATCCATCAGCAACAGGAGGACAGTATGGAGCCCCTGCAATGCCAGCCCTGGGGCAGCCAAGCCATCGTTCTCACTGTCACCTTCAGCACCTTGATGTGTAGGTCAGCCACTGGAAGAGATCTGCAATGCTCTGGTCCCGAGATGTTGGTGGAAGATGCTCAGTGCTACACTGCTGTCAATTCCCCAGCACTCCTTCTCCCTTTCAGGATCCTGCTTGCTGCCTCCCAGGGGAGAAAGAGAAGGAAGGAGGCATTACACAATATGTTGCATTGATGAATTCCCTGTGCCAGCTGGAACAGACTGCTCATAAATGCAGCTTTCTGGAGGGGTTTCAAGAGTGTTACATTCTTAGATCATTGTCTCTCCTCCCTGGGAACAATGAGGGCAGGAACGAGCTGCTCCAGAAATGCTACGAGGAGATTTCTATGGGATAGGGATTGCTTGGGGAGACAAAGGGAATTTCCCCCAGCTGCTTTAGACTGCAGCCCGGATAGCTTACGAAGGCAACTCAGTGGGAAACAGGAATGCTGTTCTCAGTGCTCTGCAGAGAACTGCGAAGGTCAGCTTCTTCCAACTCCCCCAGAAAGGCAGAACAATTATCCACCAATTATAGGGTGGAAAATGAGATGCAGGAAGGCAGAGCGCTGTGCCCCAGGCTGCAGCTGCTCAGTCTGAGATATGCTGAAGGATCTTCTGGCCTTGGGTTTCAGCCTTGGCACGCTCTGCAAGTCCCTTACCACTGCACTTAAGAAAGCCTGTCATGCAGGCAAATTAAAATTGAAAGGCCGATGCAAAGCTCCTAACCAAGCTTTCTAACCAAATGAGGTGGATGGAACTCTTAATCCCAGTAAGCCCATACCCATCCCATGAGATCAGCAGCTGGTTCGGCTGTCCTGTCCCCTCTCCCCACACTGGTAATTCCAGCCAAAGCTTTGGTGGCTCTGGCATTTGACTTGCCAACGGTGAGCTCGCGATTCTCAGCATGGTTCCTGGCATGGTTTTGTCCTTCAGGGGGCAGATATGGCTTAGGAGGTGATGTGAGCCAGGGACCAACACTGGGAAGTGATTTGGGTGCAGACACCTTTTGGGGGAGTAGGAAAGTTGAACTGTACGAACCTGTTTGGACAGAGGAGGGACCCTGCTACAGTTCAGTTGCAACATCTTCATGAAGAAACACAACCAAAATGGGGTGCAAGCAACCTTTCTCATAATGCAGCAATCACTAATGACTCATAAGTCTTGCAAAAGGAATTTGCTAATGCAAGGAAAATAATTCCTTTCAAGCCAAGGTTGTGGAGACAAATTCTGCTTGATTCATGACATGTACAGCTCCCACTGAGCTGTGGCTTTGATTCCCTCCAGGCAAACATGGGACTGATCCACATCTCCTGCTTCCTAGAGATGTGCTCCAAGTGCTGCTTCTCAGGCTGATGTTGAGCTTCATTCGGTTTTAGGAAGAGACACCACATCCTCACCCAAGCAGGTGTAGTTTGGAAGGGACCTTAAAGATCATCTAGTTCCAACCCCTTGTCAATCACCATTATTTTTCGTGCACAACAGGCAGTCTCACGGATGTAAAGGCACTGAATTTCACCGGACAGATAGTCCCAAACCACCTTCTTCCCCCACTGCTGGCTGCTCTTCTCCTTCCCAAATGTTATGCACAGAGGTTTGGGACAAGTCCAGCCTATGAAAACTGAGGC